CAGCTATCCAGTACCTTGTGCTTTCCTAAGGTTGTCTAATATCAATTTATAGTGTAAGTTATGAAATCCAACAATCTCTACTGTTATATTGAGTGAGTGCCCTGTTTATATATGAACGTGATAAGACCGCCTATCAGAGAGCAGTCAATTTATTGATCGCCCAATGATACACAAAGGCCGTATGAGCAGTCTTGAGTACATGTCAGTTCTGCTATCTGCCTAGCCCAGCCAGTTAAGTCCAGAAAACCAATAACAGCCTTTGCAATATGAATCATTATTCTCAAACATACCAAACAAACTGACCACATCGCACCATAAAATAGAAAATAACATTTGTACAAGAGTTTGCCAAATGTGGCTGTGAATAGGGGGAGCAGTAATCAATAGACTGGGTATAACTCAAGAATGGTAAATCGTACAATAATAGTCCAAGGGTCAAAATAAAGCTCACACTGAAAGGAACATGAACATGAGTAGTTTAATTATTTAGAAAATATACGATAAAAATTATGTGGATAATATGGGTCCATAAATGGATCCCAAAGTTACCATTCACTATTGTTATCGGGATATAACAAAAATCTCCACAATTATATAAATGGAAGTAGATATCCAACTTGTGATAATTAAGTCGGAAGACATTTCACACGCAAGACTACTACACATAATTAGTTTAAACAAACATATAACTTACAATTGTGACATTTATTTCTTCATCAATAATGAAATTTTCATGAGAATCACATTTTAAATAGGTCAAGTATTACACGAAAGCACTTCCTTATCAGTTTCAATGTACGAACTCCCTGAAGATGAACTTAATTTTACAGTAGCATTAATCAGAGGTCGGCTTCAGAATGCAATCCTGAAGAGATACTTACTAAGAAGAAATAACCGGATCAGTGACAATCCCACCAGTTTCAATTTAAAACTGAGCAATACATATGTAAGGGGTTAAAATCGTTCATAAGAGACAAGCTACTAACTATTATTAAAGTAGCCAAAAGTAATATTTAAAAGGTTTTGCCATTGGTTTTTAACAATTTAATTTCAGTAATACACTACGATACTCATCTGTTGATAATTTACAGCTTTTTCCCAAGGAAACAGAAAATACCCAAGACTTCATGTCGATTATTAAATAAATCTGAGAATACAGAATGACTAAACATCATCCCCTGAACTAGAAACGATGGAACTTATCAAGGATGTGTTTATAGCGAAAACGAATTTGAAATGGATCACTATTGTTATGATTATTATGTATACTTTCATGAGTAACGCGGGTGCGTTTGAAGCGACCAGTACTGGATTCGAGTACCTGAGGGAACATCAACTCTGGGATCTAATTACATCCAGGTGACAAGTCCCAAACAAGACGAAACGCACATCCTGGATATCACTGTTAGCCGATATCAATCTCTGCTTATAAACGTTTGTCTGATATGATTAGGTCACTTCACTATCAACCATGAAGCTAAAAAGTTCAGCCTGATAAAGAATTTTAAATTAGCTATAATCGAACGTATTTAAAGAAATCCAACAGTGGACGAGAAATAAAGATTTGATTTGATAAAGCTGGAAAAAAACATGAACTCATTAACCGACTTGTAAAAGATATAAATCAAAGACAGATGAAAGCTTGAAAGAATATCTCGCAGCAGTAGATAAATCCACTTCTATGTATTCAAAAGCTTGTATACTGAAAGGAAAGCAAACACCTGAGTTTTCTAGAGAGTATTCCAAAGAATCTATGCGTCTCATTTACTAGATTCACTGGGATCGACGATAAATCTGCCTTATAACCGATACGGGTTGAACTTTACTCATTAGTCATGACTTTTCATCATGAAACTAGAAATTAATCTGCAAAATGATCACAAGTGAGAATACGTTTTTTGATTATTAGAATGATGAGAAGTTTGTGTAAACGAGTGGTGCTCCGATATATATTTGACAAGTGCACACTCTTTACAGTCAATAAAACTTGCTCAACCGGCTGAAAGCCGGTTTTGAACCAGAACTTTATATAAGATCGAATTCATAATAGTTCACAGAAATTTGAGTTTGATATATGTACAAAAGAAGTTCAATCCTTTATTCTGACATGGTCCTAAGTAGGTTGTACGAAAACTAGGGGTGATCAAATCAATAAATCATGACCGACTGGAATGGTGAGCTATGTTAGTAGGTATATACAACCTGGTTGGAGTCCGTGTAATTATCTCAATCAATCGTTGAAGAATTTCGATGAAATGACTCAGAATCGTTCACAATGACGTAGGTACATTTTCTTCTGATTCTTTCTTTAGAATCTGAGTCCTGAAGTCTCTTTATATATTTCTATACCTAACCTTTTCTACTACTACTGATACTGTTGCTATTTTTACTACTCCAGAAACTTGTGTTGAAGTAATTTCATCTTGTTGTGCTACTGTGGTATGACTGTGGTGTATGATACTTATGTCTGTCGAGATAACTAGTATGTAACACCAATCAGAAGTGGAATGCCTAGTAGCAGATGGTTAAGAAGATCGAATTGAAGAGAACAGGAATGTAAACAGAGAGTAATTGTAATAACAATGAAGGAACGATGAGGTTTGAGACAATTGAAGTATTGAATGCATAGTTTGTCACATTTTACGAAAGAACTCTGTAATTTTACATTAAATAATAAATTAGTTATCCCCATCAAGTTTTCGTTCATTACATAACAACTTGAACTGATGTACATATGTATCAAATTCGACATTACCTGGCCAATGATCTTATTATCTGTTCTAGGTCTACACTATGAGCAACAATGCAGGTATGTTCGGGATGCGATTCTCACCCTCAAAATGCAAAATCTTACTTCACAATTAGGTTGCATCGACACTCGAACTAATGGTGTGGAGTAAAGTAGTTGAGCATGTAGACCACTTCACTTATCTTGGGAGTCTCATCAGCCCTTGTCGTCTGGTGTGTGACGAAATCTCAGCACGAATACAGAAGGTTCGACTAGCTTTTGCGAAGTTGCGTCATTTATGGCGTAGGCGAGATATCCGTCTAGAAACCAAAGGACGGGTTTACTGTGCAGCAGTTCGGTCCGTCCTACTTTATGGAAGTGAAACATGGCCGGTAAAAGTAGAGGATATTCGTAGGCTGCTCGTTTTCGATCATAGGTGTCTTCGAAGCATTGCTCGTATATCCTGGGACCACCGAGTAAGTAATGGAGTTGTTAGGAATCGGGTACTAGGTAAGGATGGCAAATCGATTGATGAAGTAATGAAACATTATCAGCTGAGTTGGCTGGGACAAGTGTCAGGTATGCCCAACCACCGACTGCCCCTACGTGCAATGTTTTATGGCGTATAAGTAAGTTGGATGAAAGATAGGAGCCGCCAGAACAAAACGTGGAACAAATTCATGAAGTCACTGACAAGTAGATTGATCCATGTTGGTAGGTGTAGACTATCTGGTTGGGATCCGCGAGGTGATAGCAATCGATGGTTAGAGACCTTAAATGACATGGCTCAAAATCGTTTGCAATGGTGGTGTTCTCCCAAATTTTAATCTTCTGAATTCTTTATGTCTCTCTTTTTTCTCTTTCCAAATTTATTTCACTGGATTATACTCTTCGAATAGCATCTTCAAACCCTAATCTTTCTGATTACTGCCTATACTCTTACTACTCCTACCACTATGGGATATAAAGAGACAACTGCATCTCTGTGCTAATGTGGTATGGTTACTCGGACGAATGTACGTACGTAAGAAGTTGTACGTTGTGAGTGACTGACTGACTCTAAGTTTACAAATTGTTAGTATCATTTATTTGTCTATTATCAATTTCTTTATCCTTATCAAATGTACAGTTATCTTTGACATTTTTCATATGGATTATTATTTGTTATTACTTCTATGACTATTACGTGACTTGTAGTTAACCCTTAAACAACGCAACACTCTTCTATTGGACTATGCATATAAATGTATAATTTGAGCTATTTTATTTCAACACATAAATATTGGTACAAGGAGGCACCAAATAGATATGCATCATACAAATAATTCAATTAATGTGAGGGCTAAGATACTGTCTGGGCACCTACACCGAAGCACGTAGTTTCCTTAGGTGGTCACACCCCAAGCCTTTCATCTAGGCCTAATCTACAACATTGTCGAACAACGTTAGGAGATGCGGTCCCATGGTAGTGGGTTACTAACAACAGGTTCATACACCATTCGTTCCCTCAGGATCCTGTAAACCATATACATCACTGGTTTGGAATCAAAGTTTTCTAACTCTCCTAGGTGAATCTTCCATATCACCGACCTGGTTAAATCGTCGGATATTCGCTTTTCATTCTCTCAATTTCGTAAACAACACACTCCCTACGAGAAGGCAGTGAGTAGGTGTTAGGATATTCACAGGAATATCCCAAAAATTAACTCGAACGTAAAGTGGTATGTTTTCAGACTTTCCACATATTTCACATGTTATTTCCTATTGGTCATTATTTACAGTTGTCCTAACTATGACTTTCATGTGTCGTTTTCCTATTGGTCAATTTTGAGTTGTCCTAATTATAACCTTTACGTGTCCTTTCTTTCCATTGATTACTGATCATAGTCATCTTAACTGTATAAATATGCTTTGTCTGTAAATCATTTTTGTTCTGCTGCTGACCCCATAAACAGTTCTCATTTAACGGCTGTGTTCTGATTTATTGGAGTTAGGGGAACAATATTGGGGTCGTACTAGGATATCTGAACTTGGTCAATCGGTAGAATTTCGTGTAGTCCTATCGCAATACGCAATATTTGGCGACATATTATTTAGTGGCGATTTATATTAGTAGAACTTCCTGACAGAGGCTGTATACGCGTGACCAAGTGAAAGCATTTCAAGAGAGAGAGACAGGCGGGCCCTCCCCACTCTCGGTCGTACCAGGACATTTAGGGGCGTACAATTTGAGTACATAATATAATCGAATAAGAGAATTTTCTTTGTTGTTGAACTCATATTCAATTTGTTTTAATGTAAGAAATCAATTATATAAAAAGAACTTATGTACAATATTCAATATAGAATAGACCTAAATAAACATAGTTACCATTGATTAATCGGTGCACATGGGACAAGTTTCACTTTTGATAATAATGGAATTGGTGTAAGTGGTATAATCAATGATGAATCTAATATACAATGATTCCAATGATCATTTGTACTATTCTCATGATAAGTACTATCATCATTGTGACATATATTATTATTCATAAATGAACAATCCGTTGATTGTAAACAATAACCAATACCTAAATTAATTGTACCAGAATCTGACCAACGTCCAGCGGTTAATTCAATATGTGTACGTATTTCTAAATGATCTTGATTTATTGTGGATGTTGATGATGATATAGTATCATCATCTAATTGATGCCAAGAATTTGATGGTGGCCACCAATGATATAATTTGGATTGAATATTTTTTGTATTATTATGAGTTGATGGATTATGTGATACTAATAAATCAGGACGTCGAAATATGATACATATATGTTTGCTAAAAAAAAAATTGAATATATGGAAGAGATTATAGATTAGATCAAAATCTAGATTGATTAATTTTAATGCATAATGATCAATGTTAATAATGCCAGAAAATTCCATGGTACGGTCGAGTGTAGGGAGGACCTGCCCTCTCTCTCAAAATACTCTCAAACGGCCATGAGTATACAGCCTCTGATAGGGAAGTCCTACTCATTACCTTTGCGAGGCGGGGCTGTTGTTTACAAAATTGAATTCCTTTCCAATATTATTATTATTTAAAAACAAAAATATTGGTACAAAGGGGCAGCAGATATATATGCGCCGCATAAATATCATTGGATTTGTGTGAGGGCTATGATACTGCCCATGACTATGATAGTGCCCAAACTGAGGCAAATGGTTTTCTTAGGAGGCCACATCCGGAGCCTTTGAGCTAAAGGTCTGATCCACAAGGCAGTGGAGTATCGTGAGATTCAGTCCCATGGTAGTCAGTGACCAATGATTGATTCATACACCATTTGTTCCCTCAGGATACTGGAGCCCATGTGCACCATTGGCTTGGAATCAGGGTTTTCCAACTCCTCTAGGTGAACCTTCCGTGTCCACCAACCCGGGTTAAAGTGCCGGACATTTGCTTTTCGTTCTCTCAATTTCGTAAACAACACCCGTGGTGCGAGAAGGCAATGAGTAGGACTTCCCTGGTAGAGGCTATATACGCGTGGCCATGTGAGAGCATTTGGAGAGGGAGAGCGGACTCTCCCCCCTAACGGCCGTACGAGGGCATTCCAATATCTAGACTTGATATCTTCAACTATTTAAAAGAAGCCAGTAATATGAAAAAAAGCTTTACTGAATTATTAGTGACGGTTTGAACTATATTATAATTAATATTCAAGACTGAATTCTGACCAATCTTTGTTAGCACACGTGCATTTAGTGAAGATTATTTAAATATAACCGAATATAACCCACAATAGGACGAAACGGCCGTCCAGTGGTTCCAGGTTTTCCATGGTGGTTTAGCTTCAATTAACTCATGATCTCAACTATATAAAATAACCGAGTTGTCAAAGGTTTTTTTAATATAGGATAGATAGATTGTTGCTAGTAGCGAACTTAATAGTTCAGTGAATAATATACTAGAGTATGAAGCGAAAGTTACTAAGTCACAAAGTGAACATCTTACTTGACATGCAGGTATGTCTAGCTGGACTGTTCGAACTCCATTATTAGCAATAATCCATTTATTCTATAAAAAACAACTCTATTTCCATGGTTATTTCACATACAGAAAGCAGTGCGTATCAAAAGGGATACACTAATGACCTTGGGAATTAAAAAAGTTCGAAATTGGTTATACGTTTCGAAAAAGGTTGATTGGTTAGAAGTGATTGTGGGCTTTAGAGAAATCTATAAGTCATTTTATAGATTTCTTCTCTAACAATCATAACAATAGAAGGCTAGGAGGGAATGGACACCTGTTTTGTGCTAGCATGAAAATATTTAGCAGTTCGCACTTACAACATACCAGGAGTCGCGATCAGGACCTTACAGTCATGTGACGAGTCCTTAACTATTGGAACCAGTAGGTCTGTATCCAATGGTAAAATCTCTCCTTCAATCAATTCGCGATGTAGTACGATAATCATTCAGTGACGACTGTTTCATTATCAATATGTTTGAAATTCAACAGTCATGACTTCTCCTTAAAACTTCAGGTACAATCCGAAGTAAGTCACTAATGCAGTGACTATAGTAGCTTTGTTGAGGTGGTTTTCTGGAAAAGCGAAGCGATTAAGGCTGGAATTGTACCACTGAACGCTGGCTTAAGGACTCTAGTAATCAATGGTTCACTGCAATACAAGAAGATAATCGGTCTCATCTCTAGTGGAATCGTTGATGTGTACTGCTGAGGAATCCCATACTACGACGAAACAGTTATTGAATACTTGCTGATTCTTTATGGTACTCAAAATGCAATCAATCTGTCCTGAACATTGTCTATACATCAAAACATACACAGACATACATGCATAAACACAACAACTTACCGTGCCATCTCAATATTCAAACCAATAATAATCGCTCTAATCCTTATCATAGCTGATGCAATAATCGCAGTGAAACGAATCTCTGGTACGACATTATTACCACTAATATGACTAAATGATGATGATGTTGGCAAATCAATTCGATTAGTATTCATATTTAATAGATCATTTTCATTTAACATATTCATCATAATCATCATATTATGATCTGGTTGATATTTATTTAATGAAATTGTTGATCTTGTATCAATATTATGATTATTATCTATATTCATTAAATTACTACTATTACTAGATGGTTGTAGTAGTACAGCATATACCGGTATTAATCGATTGGATAAATCAATTAAATAATCAATTAAGATTACATAATCATCATTGAATTGTTCCATATTGAATTTTATTGTTGGAAAAGAACGTTTCCTAGTGTTAGAATAATGATGAATTGGCATTGAAGTGATATTATTTTCCGGTTGATTTGAATTAGATAATAAGTTTATAATGGAATGTAATGCATCCAATAAATAGTTGACATTGATTTGATGATGATCATTTGTGAATGATTGAAACAAGTTAAATGTATTAGAACATAATTGAGATACATAGATAGATTCATATTTTGTTTTACCAGAGAATAAGTGATTTATCTGAAGAAGAAAACATTGAATTAACAAGATTACTGATCATAAGGGGGTTTTGTGGAGATTTTAGTAATTTTATATAGTTAAGATCATGAGTGAATTGAAGCTAGACCACCGTGGAAAACCTGGAAGCACTGGACGATCGTTTTGTCCTATTATGGGAATCCTCAGCAGTGCGCATCCACGAGCCCATCTCACGGGATTCGAACCCAGGACCTACCAGTCTAGCGCCAGAGTATTTAACCGATAGACCACTGAGCCGGCTCCATGAGGTAATTCCTGGAGTTCTAGTGAGAAGTCGTGGCCAGTGGAGCTAATCCATATCAGGGAGAGGCAGGTTTCCACCTCAGTACAATGTAAGTTAGTCGCGCAATTTTGTGGATTGATTGAGGTTAGACATTAACACTGTTGGATGCCGAACGGCTAAGTGGTCTGTCGGTTAAGTGCTCAGATGAGAGACTGGTAGGTCCTGAGTTCAAATCTCGCGAGGCTGGATCGTGGGTACGCACTGCTGAGGAGTCCCACAATAGGACGAGACGGCCGTCCAGTGCTTCCAGGTTTTCCACGGTGGTCTAGCTTCAATCGACTGATGATCTTAACTATATAAAATTACTGATGCTTATTTTTATATTGGTTGGTTGAATCATTCCATTGATGTTTAGGACTGTCATTGATCAATCTCTTTCTTATAGGATATGTGAATCCAGTGTGGATTGCCTGGATATTACCTCAAATCACAAGCATTATAAGCAAAGATGGATGGTGGTTAGCAGTGGAATTCAGGACTTGTCAGTTGGATGTACCTGTATTCTAGAGTTGATGTTCACTTAGGGACTGGAATCTAGTATTGTTCGCTACAAACACGATCGCGTTATCTACTCCTTAGTTACTGAGTCCTGATGACCACTAGCTTGTGCAGTGAGATGAAGTTATAATTTATTTTTGTATTGTTTGTTTGAATCTTCCCACTAATGTTTAAAACTGCCATTGACAAATCCCAAGTGGGATAAAACGTGAGTCCCGAATCCCATTGCTAGTCACCATCCATCTCTGTTTATAATATTACTGATAGTAGAAAACAATAAATAAACAGTTGACAAGAGTTAACACAGTTTATGTTTTCAGCATTGAGTCAAAGGAAAGTACTCGTTATAATTGTATATGAGCTAGAATAGAATCCTAAAAACGAAGATGGTTTTACTTAGCGAGTCATTCCTTGAGTCCTTGACATAAATGTTCAACCCATAAGATAATGAACAAACAGTTAAGACATACATTTTCACGGTAACTGGTGACCATAATAGGTTCGTATGCAACTCGCTTCTTTAGAATCATCAAACTCACGTACACTATTAGTTTGAAATCACAATAATCCAAGTGTCCTAGGTACTTTTTCAGAATCTACTAACCTGGTTTAAGAGCTGGATGACCAATTTTCATCTTATTACTCTCGTAAAAACACGTCACTGAAGTTAAAAACGTGTGATGTAAGAGCATTTACACACAGAGAGAGCAAACTTTTAAGATTTTCGTTGTACAAAGTCATTTGGAGAAGAAACTGTAAGCAGATGATTCAAAGCTTAAATATGTAACGTTTACTCCCTAGGACATTACCAATGAGATATTCAGGTTCCCGCTAATCTCCTATAGCACTGATATATTTACATCAGTTGTTTGTTGAGTCGTAAATCAGGTAATTATTTCGTGCAATCAGCATACAGAATTGTCGTTGCTGTCCTTGAACGACATTGATCATGAGTCATAAAGTAAAAAAAATGACTCTCACTTCCGATCGATCACAGTTGCTATTCCAGCGACAGGAGCAGCGTTTTAAAAAGAGTCAGATGGGATTTATTGACAAGTTACACGCAAAGCTGCTGAATCACCCATGCTTTGGGGGTGTGACGGAAGTTAATGAATTGATCTCTAAATTACGCACAGAGCTGGAAATTGATTGCAGAATGAATGAATATGCCGGTGAAAGCCTCAATGAATCCGTAACAAACAGTAACTTAAGCGAAGCAGTAGTAGTCATACATGATCAGCTCAGCAGTTCAATACTGTCTGTTTTAGAGACGTGCCCTATACATGGTTCAAACCCTATTATCCCCGAAACAGAACGTACAAACAATGAATTGTCCAGTTCACAGAAAGAAAATATCCTGTTAAAGGCCCATGTAAAAACAGAAAAATCGAGCAGTACACTGAATGCAGCTGCACCGATTGGAGCTCATCATTCTACAAAAGAAATTTCTGGCGAGTCTGATTGTCCAGATTTTCATAGTTCACCAGAAAATATGTCACATACATCAAGTGATAATCAAGAACCTAGTGCAGTTTTGATGGACGCTGATTATCATGGTGACTCACTATTTACTAGTGGTTTTTCCAACAAATGTGATGAAAATATTTCAGAAGAACTAAACTCTGACCACAAGTCAAATGTCGATCCATACCATTCAGTCAGTCCTAACAGATTCTCTATTGAATGCAGGAAAAAATGTTATAAACAGAATCATGTTAAACAGGGCATGCGCGCACTCATTTGATATAACACTTATGTAATACCAATCTATGACTGAAATATCATCTTTTTCAATTAAACTGATAAGCCTTCTAATGGTACACTTATAACTGAATTACTAGTCGCTCCCTATAACCTCAGATTACTTCTATATATCAATTTGAATAGAAATGGTTTAATTTGCTTAATCTGGTTTCTCATTTTTTAAGCAATATTTTTATTTACAGGATAAGGTTGCCAACTCTATGCCTAACCCACTTCCTTTATCCAGGGCTTGAGACCGGCAGTAACTCTAAAAGAGCTACAGGAGGAGATTGATTCATCATAACATAAGACCATTAACAATGTACTATATATATATATATATATAGATATAAATGAACTAACCTTAAGTGAATTACGTATTGCTTTATTTAATAATTTAATAATACGTTCATAAATTGGATGAATGAATTTCTCTTTAAAATTATGATTCAATTGTAAATTGTTATTAATAGATGATAAAGTTGGTGATGATGATGTTCTTGATGTTGTCGATGATGATGTCGTCGTCGTCGTCGTCGATGATGATGATGATGATGACAATGAATTCATTGAATGATAATGATAAATTATATTAGCTGATATTAAATACCAACCAATTGTTGATAATAATATTAACCAATATAATAAATTTTTTAATTTTTTATTATGATTTAATTTTTTAATACAATTCATTAAATCATTAAATATAAGATGAGATAATAAAGTATTACGATGTGATTGATATTTATAACATGGGATTCTAATAAATGAAATAAAGAAAAATAAATTATGAATGTGAATGAATGAATTTAAACAAATAAACATTGATACAAATGAGGCTGCCAGGGAAATCCTGGCAGGGGGTGTCCGACGCTTTAACCAGGTTGGTAGACACGGAAAGTTCACATTTTGGGGAGTTGGAAAACCCTGATGTTAAACCAGCTTTCAAATGCTCTGGTACGGTCGAGAGTAGAGAAAGTCAGCTATCTCTCTCTCTTGAAATGCTCTCACATGGCCACGCGTTTACAGCGACTGCCAGGGAAGTCCTACTCTAGGTGTGGGTGCTGTTTACGAAATTGTCTTAATGAAAATCAAATATTCGGCTCTATAACCGGGTTGGTAGACACGGAGGGTCCATCTAGGGGAGTTGGAAAACACTCATTCCAAACCAATGGTGCAAATAAGCTCCAGTATCCTGAAGGAACAAATGGCGTATGAATCAATCGTTGGTCACTGGCTACCATAGGAATGCATCTCCCTACGATGCTCCACTGCCTTGTGGATCAGACCTTTAGGTCAAAGGCACTGGGTGTGACCTCCTAAGAAAACCAGCTGCTTCGGTTTGGGCACCCGGGCAGTATCACAGCCCTCACATAAATCAAATGAGATTTGTGTAGCGCATATATATCTGGTGCTCCTTTGTACCAATCTTTATGTGTTTAAATAAATAAATATACAAATGATTCAATTTATGTGAAAGACAGGATATTATCTGGGTGTCCAAATCGAAATAGGTGGTTTTCTTGGAGGGGGGCACTTCCCGAACCTTCCACCTAGAGGTCTAATCCACAATGCAGTCGAACAACGTTAGGAGATGCAGTGTCATGGTCGCCAGTCACCAACAAAAGATTCATACACCATTTGTTCTCTCAGGATCTTGTAAACCATGTACATCAATGGTTTGGAATTAGGGTTTTCTAACTATTCTAGGTGGATCCTGCATTTCTACCAGCCTGGTTAAAGAGCCGGATATTTGATTTTCGTTAACACAATTTTGTAAACAATACCCACACCTAGAGTACGACTTTCCTGGCAGTGGCTGTATACGCGTGGCCATGTGAGGGCATTTCGAGAGAGAGAGGGAGAGCTAGCTCTCCCTATCCTTGACCGTACCGGAGCATTTGGAGGCTGGTTAAACCAGCAATTGGATGGTTAAGGTGTTCGACTTTTAGCTAATAAGTCACAGACTCGAACCTCGTTTAACAATTGCCTTCGGTTTAGGCAACCGGATGATATCATTAGCTCTAACATTTGGAGCATGAGGTGATGGTTGGAGGTAGTTGATATGAAACTGCTACAACTCTTCATACTCACAGCCACTTTTGGCTTGATCTTGTATAACTGCTATCTTCCTTCTTTTTTATGGTATAATGCAGTTTAATTTGCTTGTATATAAACTGCGTATAACTGCAATACACGATTCATACAATGGAAGCTGAGATTATGTTCTGAACTTAGGGGGGGGAGGCCTAGACAAGAAGAACTAATCAAGATTCATAGTTGACTCAAACCTTGTTATTTTTGGTTAACATGCCAATTAGTTCGGCACAAGAATATTCTAGTTGGTAATCTTATCTGGTGATAATCAAACAACAACAACAATATGATTTACTTACCTTCTATGTAGATTATTACATTTTTCTTCTTGTTTCAATGATAAACAATAACTAGATAATTCATCATAAATCATTAGAAATAATTTACATATACGACATATTGTTGAAGCAATAAATTTATATAAACTACAATGTTCCATTATAGATGGTCCATTCAATGTACAGCCATCATCAGCATCAGTAGTTAAACATAATTTCTGAAAAAAAATTTGAAGTAGAATTCAATGATTTAGAAATAAACATAATAATTTCTAAAGGTTAACTATACATAAAAAAAGTCAGTCGGTGCTGTTAGAGGTACGAGGGTAGTTGGGTGGTCTTAATGATCTGAGAGCGTGACCGCAGTGCCCAAGGGACAACTGCTTGAGTTCTGTCACACGACATTTTTGTGGGTAGTTTTTGTGTTAGCTCCGTACTTGTTAGGACGTTACCGCCGGAGACGGAATAAAGCGAGGTGTGGATTTTTAGGGTTGACCTTTTCTAACCCCAACCCTCCTTGTGGGAAGGCAGCATCGCTGTTATGCTGGTTGTCGGAAGGAAACACATTACTGCTGTCACACCTCTGTACAGTCAGAAGTACGACTTCGCCTTCGGACCTTGGGTTTGCTGCTTTTAGTCTTACCGCTCTTCAATCGATCTGCCTAGCATGGTAGGACCTTGAGGAACGATTATTCCAGCCAGTATAGCTCGATTGGTTCATCACGATAGGCAAGCCTGACCAACACGTCAAGGTAGCAGCAACGGTCGGGATACATAAAAAAGAAGCCAATAGTTAAATATGAGGACGGTTGTTACTTCCCGACTGCTAACACAGTGGAAGGATATTTTCTTTCTTGAGAGATCTGGAAAATAAACTGGGTTAATGGTGATCTTAATGATCTAGGAGGATGACCTAAGGATAACTACTTGAAGTTGATCACATACAGCTTTTCTATAGGACGTTTTTAGTGTGCTAGCTCCTTACTACTTCAGGAAGCCTTACAGCCGGAGATGGATATCTGTGATGTAGGATGAGGTATGATATTGTTAGGTTCAATCTTTTAAACTCTTTCCGTATGTTGTGAGAAGGAAACATCACTACAGATGCTGGTTGTCCAAGGGAAACACTTTCCTACTATCACAACTCGCTAAAGTCACCAGAACAATATTATCCTTCGATCCCAAATGTTGCTTTTAATCTTATTGTTTTCCAACTGGCGACTGTTTGGCATGGTAGGACCTAAAGGAATGTCTTACAGCCTTGATTGAGTCTTGAAAATAGACAAGCTCGACTAATACATCAAGATAGCAGCTACAGTCTGGATGAACACATGTGTCAGGTTTCACGTCGCATATGACATGATACTTAATTCAGTTTATATAGTCGGGTGGTAGTATTGTTAGTCATTAAGCAAACACTGTAGTTCAGTGCTGAGTTTATTAATCTCTATTTGATAACTTACCTTTATCAATTATAATAGAATGAGTATAGCTTATTTACCAAGTACAGGCTTGTGTATTTGAGAAATGAAGATTTCCCGGTTGGAATTCGTGAAATAATGGTGGCACATATTAGTTAGTTACAAGTAAAGTAGAGAGCAGCACATTTATGCTATACAGTATTGGTATAGAAAGATGAAATTATAAAGATGAATACCAATGTAGTAGAGGTATTGCTAGTATCAGTGACAGTAGAAGAAAAGATTAGACATAGAGAATATGATTCAGGAAGAAAGAATGAATTAAGGGAATAAAGGTTATCAACGAAATTGGAAACTCAAAATCTGAGTCATATTATCCAGTGTCCCTAACCACTGATTACAATAACCGCGTATACTTCAATCAGTTAGTGTGTGCTTGCCCACCTATGTTTTTTATTGATTTAAACACATAAACATTCGTACAAGGAGGCACCAAATATATACGCGCCACATAAACTACTCAGTTTGTGTGAGGACTGCGATACTGTCCGGGTGTCCAAAGTGAATTAGGTGGTTTTCTTGAGCAGCCACTCCCCGAGCCTTTACCCTAGAAGTCTAATCCAAAAGGCAATGATGCTACGTCAGGAGATGCGGTCTCAAAGTATTCGGTGGTTAAGAACACGTTTGTACGCTATTTGTTCCCTCAGAATCCTGGAGCTTATGTGCACTGTTGGTTTTCTAACTCTTTTTGGTGAATGCTCTGTATCCACGATCTCAGTTTAGGAACCGGACATTAGATTTCCGTCAACACGATTTCTTAAGAAACACACCCGCCACAAGAAGGCAGTGATTAGGATTATAGATTATACTAATAGCGGACTGGATACTCGATTAATATCCTAGACACAGACCGGAATTATGTTTTGCTAGATGCACAATAAAATATAAAGAATCAGAGTATAGAGCAGAAAATACTTTTTTTCAACACAAGTTACAATCAGTCAACACGTTCTGAGATATGAGCATACCTACTGAGATTCAACTGCAGTTATATTCATGGGCCATAAGGCAGCATTCGGATCCGAAGATTGAGAGGTTATTTGGAAATGCTGGTCATGAAAAGTCGTACTAAAGAAGTACACTAACTTTGTACTGGCTTTCTACTCGAACGCAACTAATCGAATCAGAGCTTATAGGAGAATGACATCGCAATTGTCAGCCTAAGGTGGAGTTATTCAGGGTTGTCCGCCTTCCCCGTTTTTATCTAACTCTCATAAAAATTCTTTTAAAGACAACGCTAACATCACCCAAATTTTCAGCAGTTAGTCTTCTACAAAAGAATTCACTTCGTGATTTAAATAAGAATATCATGTGGTCCTGTTTCATCAAGTCACTGACGAAATACGATCTTCTCATCACCTTGACAAACAGTGCTAGTATGTTTCGGATGTGTTTCTCTCCCTCCAAATGTAAAATGTTCCTTTATGACTGGTCTGTTTCAAAGCCTGCATTCACAATGAAGTGGTTGAGTGTGTCGATTACTTAGCTTATCTTGAAGATCTTATAAGTTCTGATGGGCGGTTATGAGATAAAATTTTGGCACGGATTCAGAAAGTCTGATCAGCCTTTTGCCAAATTGCGTCACTTGTGGAGTAGGCGAAGTACCAAAGGACGGGTTAACTGTACAGTAGTTCAATCTGTTTTCCAAGTTGGATTGAATGAAGTAGAAACAAAGCTTGTGTAATGAGTATTTATCTCCCGAGGAAGATAAGAGAACAAAGAACAAAATATTAGTTATTTTTTCCCATATCGAAGATAATTAAATGTCGGGAGGTTGGAGGTAGTGGACAAGAAATTTCAAACAAAACCCCAAACCACAGTTTTGTGTTTCATGGCACCTCTCATCAAGGTGTGTCTGTAATCATAAGGGAATTGATGCTCCCTCTGTGATTCGAACCCAGATTGCTTAGTTTCACATAGCAAGATGTCACGATTTAGCTATTAGGGCCTCTTGTGTGGTTGAAGCATTTACTAATAATTGGCCATTGAGAAGTGGCCAAACAATGTCATGCTTGTCTAATCCTTGGTGGTGGTTGGATTCTACCGATCAGGTTGAAAGGTAGCTACTAGTCTAAGTGACGACATAGAGTACAGCATCTTGATTGGCAGTAGCCGACCGAAAAAAACATACTTACCTTGTTTGGTAAATCCAGTGGAGAAACATTTTGAAACTCGTCATTTACAACAGTTTTCGGCAATAAAGATGGTAACAATTCTTGCAAATAAATCTGAAAAGATTAATGAAGAGTAAGTAGTATACAAAATATTCTTCTCAGCATAAATAATGATTTTGCTAGTATGAAACTCCTCATCAGTGAGCACCTACGATTCCAAATGTGGGAGTCTAACCCAGAATCACCAGTCTCGTGCGCGAACACTCAACCTCTAGATCACTAGGACGAAATCTAAAGGTGTTCATATCTAACTTCCATTAATCAACAATATTACACGATCATACTCTATTGTCTTTGGTGGGTAACTGCCTTACACGCGACACAGATTAGCTCAACCGATCATGGTTTCTCACTAAAATTCCTTAAATTTCCTCTCGAAGCTAGTCACTAGTGAGTACATGATAATTTTCAGTCTAGTGGTTATAGAGATCGTTAAATCTCATTGAAATTATTAACCGATAAATCTGTTTAAAAGGATTCATGTCAAGAATAGTGTAAAAATAAATATATCATATCATCTTTACTCAAATCTATGAATTACCTTAGTTGATGCTACATGTCTAGGGAATTTAGCCAGCATACCAGGTATACTAGGTTCAGCATTTAAAACAAGCAATAAAACTGTAAGATAAGCTGGATCTTCTTTCACTGGTTCTGGACCACTCAACCATGAATGTGTTCGTAATAAACTGGATAAACAAGTTTCAACAAATATTGGATGATTTCTACCCACAGAAGCAGCGCATCTATAAAAATAAGACAAGTGTTAACAATTAAGGTAATTAAAGTAATCCATTACGTTATTGAGTAAAAATAATGAAGAGAATCATTTACTTCAATTATACATTTGATAAATGTATAGAATGCAAGGGAAACATTTCTACAGTTGAAGAACATACGGAACTCAGTCAGTCAGTCACAACGTAGAACTTCGTACGTACGTACATCAGTTCGAGTTGCCATACCACATTAGCACAGAGATGCAGTTGTCGATTCAAATCCCATAGTGGTAGAAGTAGTAGGAGTATAATCAGAAATCCAAAAGATTAGGGTTTGAAGAAATTATTGAAGGAGTATAGTACAGTGAAATAAATTTGGAAAGAGAAAAAAATAAAGACATGAGGAATTCAGAAGATTAGAATTTGGTAGAACACAAAGAGTGGATGCATCTTCGCCATTGCAAACGATTTTGAGCCATGTCATTCAAGGTCTCTAACCATCGGTTGCTGTCATTTCTCGAAGCCCAACCAGGTAGTCTACACCTACCAACATGGCCCATTCCACTTGTCAGTGACTTCATTGATTTGTGCCACGTTTTAGTCTGGCGGCCCCTAGCTTTCTTCCAACCTACTCCTACACTATAAAATATTGCACGTCGGGGCAGTCGGTGGTTTGGCATACGTAACACGTCTCCCAGCCATCTCAACTGATGAAGTTTCACTACTTCATCAATCGATTTGCCATCCCTACCCAGTACTCGTTTCCTAACAACTCCATTACTTACCCGGTGGTCCCAGGATATACGAGCAATGCTTCGAAAACACCTATGATCGAAAACGAGCAGCCTACGAATATCCTCTACTTTTACCGGCCATGTTTCACTTCCATAAAGTAGGACGGAAAGAACTGCTGCACAGTAAACCCGTCCTTTGGTTGCTAGACAGATATATCGCCTACGCCATAAATGACGCAACTTCGCAAAAGCTAGTCGAACCTTATGTATTCGTGCTGAGATTTCGTCACACACCAGACGACAAGGGCTGATGAGACTCCCAAGATAAGTGAAGTGGTCTACATGCTCAACTACTTTACTCCACACCATTAGTTCGAGTGTCGATGCAACCTAATCCTGAAGTAACATGTTGCATTTTGAGGGTGAGAATCGCATCCCGAACATGCCTGCATAGTTGCTTATAGTGGTCAGAAGACTCTGCATGTTGTCAGCGTCTTCACCGAGTAAAACTATATCGTCGGCGTATACATACGGAACTCAAAAACAACTGTTTGCAAGTCAACATTAAATTAAGAATCTTCAATAGGAACGTCAAGACAACCCTACTATATGAAGATGAAACTTGGAGAACTACTACAACCATCATCATAAAGGTACAAGTATTTCTAAACAATTTTTTGAGCAAGATAATCAATGTCGGTTGGTCAGATACCATCATCAATAACATACTGTGGGTGAGAACAAACCAACTTCTAACTAAAGAGGAAATTAGGAAAAGATGTTGAAAGTGGATAGGACATACATTAAACTGCATCATGAGGCAATCCCTGACTTGGAATCCTGAAAGGAAACTGAAAATACGAAGACCAAGAAACACATTGTGTCGGGAATCAGAAGCTGACATGAAAACGATGAATAGCAACTGGGAAGGATTGATCAAGACAGAGTTGAATGGAGAATTGTAGTGGGGGGGGCCCATGCTCCTCCATGAGGGGTAACAGGTGTAAGAAAGTATAGAAGACTAAGAGGACAATATATCATAAAACCTGAGATTGCAAATATCAAAAGAAGGTTGGGTAATAATCAAGTGGTTAGAGATGAATAGAGGGATGAAAATAATTTACGGCTTGGTAATATAACAGATAATTGTTCACCTGACAGATATGAAAAAGAAATGAACAACGTCAAGACTATAATCATCATAATTGAATAGTCATGAGAAATTGTTAAAGGATAACAAAAACTGGTTATGGTTTAAAAGAAGTACAAATTAAGAACAGAAACAAAGAAACAAACACAAAGACCCAAACCTACTGGAAAAGGATATTAAAGTCATGGAAAGATAAGAGGTTGTAAGTATTGTTTTCCACGCACAGTCCAGGCTTGAATTGGTGGATTGTCAACACCTTAGCAGTGCATAAGTTTTCGATCCGACCTTTAGATTTAATAGATTACTTTAAAGCACGACTCTTTTGGAGTAATGTGATCAGAATTGATTATGTGCTACTGTATTGAGCTAGTGATAATTTTGCATCCCCCTTTTAAAAGACACAAAGGGTAAAGTCCTGAGAAGCATTTGAAAGGTGATCGCTTTGTGAGGCCAATGTAATCTACCTCACAAGAGCAAGTAAATGTATTGATGCATATCGATGCGGCCCAAAGCGAAATGTTATCTTCAATACATCCGTAAATGGTAGGCTGACTTGAGAAGACAATCCCTTTTGATATTCGCAATTTCAGGTCACTTTATGTTGCAATCTCTTCTACCTTTCTCTAGATTTATATATTTATCAAACAACAATAAATACAGCTTAAGTGAATGGCTAAGTTGATGTCATTTATTGAATACACATTTTATGTGGTTGTAGCTACACTTTAGTTAGGGTTAGTCAGTCTTGAACACATGTATGTTGGCCTAAATTGTCATGTCACATTACGAAGACGAGATGAAATCAATAAAACGAGTGGCAAACAAATCGAAATAGTAGTAGTATCCGTGATAGTGAGAAAGATTAAACATTAGAAAATACTGTCCACAAAGAAAGGATAGCTTAAGGAACAAAACGTACGAAATAATATTGAAGCATCATTACATACAATCTCTAGCTATGATTAAAGGTCTATAACCTTCGGTTGCAGCAATTGTGTCAACTCCAACCACGTAGTGCGGGGTTATTCACATCGCTCAATTTAATAGTTGACTTATAAAGAGATGTCACATCTTACCTTGACTGCTTTTAGCCCTCGCCCAACACATTCCTATCTCATCCAACAATGAGTGTCAGGGCAAGCGGGTGTTAGGCATATAGAACTGATATCCTAACCAAAGAGATAGTGACAAAATACAACTGTGTAAACTGAGGTATATGGTGTGAGGTACGAACCCACGCACTACAAGTTCATTAATCATCAAGCCACTGCCAAAGTCAACAAATATAAAAGAACTACCGAGCGATGAATCAGAGAAAATATGCTATACAATTATCCTGATAAGTCAACTTCTTGTACTGTACTGTACTGTATTAAAACCCATCAATGATAAAGCGGAAGTAAGCATTCCGTTATTATACTAGATATGAGAAGGAAATTAACTAATTTTGCTAAATACAGAATATTAAAGATTCCCATTGTGAAAAGTAGAACAATACACGTAAGCGAACAATTGTTTTCAATTAGATCGGAAAGAGGCGGAAAATTGCAAACAAATGCCGGAATTGAAAATAATGTTAAGTTATATCCGGCCATGGAAGGGATAAGGGGTTACAAATTTCTTCTGTACACATAAATTCCTATGGCTTCTGTTATATGAAGGAGACGGGAACGAACTTTGTTGGAAAACGATGGAAGTATACGATAGATCATTCGAAATGATTTCGATTTATCTACATTATGACTGCTATCAATTAAATGTGCCAAGATAGAACTACGTATTGTTTTTATTTGGCCCTTCCAAAACCATGCTCGTAGATGTTCACTCATTTGTTCGTTAAGTCGCCTGGTAGTACGCCCGATATAGCTATCTCCACATAGAGGAGGCCAACTGATGTAACTTTTCCTTCGTTTGAGTAGACATCACTGGTCGACTCGAGAAAGTCGACGCAAGATTGGCTGCGTAGAATGTCGCACTAATTACTTTCGCTAACCTATCTTTCAGAGTATCGCTAACCATATCGCCGTTGAATTGTAGTTTCATGCATAAAGGTTTCTATCGAACAGTTGAAATCTCAGACTTCTTTCTTGTATCACACATGTACTTCTTAATGAACGCACTAGGGTAGCCGATCTCGGTCAGTGAGTTATTGATAAATTCCAGCTCCTGATTTAAAGTATCTACTGAACAGATCTTTTTCGCTCTACTAGTTAAGCATCTAACCAAATTTCTCTTATATCGGACAGGTGTAAAGCTATAGAAGTGAGTATATTGGCAGGCAGAGGGACTTTTTCTATACACACTTCTACTTAACGAGCCATCACAGCCTGTTGGGTGTGACATCAAGCAAATTCAGCTTTTCGTCACACTTGCCTTCACCGGTGAAACTAACCGCTGGGTGTACACTGTTGATAAACTCCTAGAACAGCTATCGTAACTTATTATTCTTACTACTATCAGTACACCTGTCTTCTCACTATCAACTTGTACTTTTACCTATTATATGCGGTGACGTAATCTATTTCATTGTAATTATTGACCCAAATTACCTTGATTTGTTTAAAATTTTCGTACAAATATTCATGTATATTAGAGTAGAGCCTGATGACGATCTAATTGAAAACAATTGTTCGCTTGCATGTGTTGCTCTAAATACAGAATATACCAAAAAACTTCGCTTACCTCCACAGATTATCTCTATCTTCTGGATATCTTCTTAAATTTTGCAAAAGCCCATCCAGTAAACTAATTAGACAAGGGGCTGAAGCTAAACGACACTGTGATAATAAATGATGCAGTCTTCGTCGAATACGACCAGATCCTTCAGCAAGAGCTGATGTAATAATGGATACTTGTTCACTTTTTACAGGCACCTGTAAAATGCAAATAACATCATTAAAATATCGTATTGAAATCACGAAGACACCTAAGTTAGACCACCATGGAAAACCACGAAGCATTGGACGGTTGTTTCGTCCTAGTATGGGACCTCTTAACAGGGTACATCCACGACTCTGAAACCGAAAATTGAACTGAAAACCTTCGGTCTCGCGTATGAACACTAGATCTCTAGACAAATGTGCTGGTTACCAGTGGTGCGAAAGTATGATTTAAATCAATCCAAGATACTACGTGACCATCTCACATTATCTTTAGTTAGTACCCTTCTAACATTTGGCACAGTTTAGCTTCACGATTCCAATGAAATTCAACAAAATCACTAAACCCTGACACTTAAAATATCTTACTAAGACAAACTTTTATGAAACATCCATTGGTGTTCGTACTATTTATAACTACCCTAGCCAATATTGTACGCCTAAGAAGGGGGTGGTTGAGCAGACGCACTACATATTCTAACTCAGTCGGTAGAGATTCAGAGCTTCACCGATTAATTCACCATCTCTAATTAGCATCCTGCATTTGACTTCAGCATTTCATACTCTGTGTTTCCATGATACGCTAACAATGCCCTGAAAACATGTTCTCTGCTCTCGAAAACCGTGTTTCATGGTCACAGAGTGGAACGTTGCACAATATACTCGTCTTTTGATTGGGAAACATCTTGCTCACGTCACAAATGGTGCAAGCCTCCAAAAGCGAAGCAACGGTTTGTCAGCCATTACGACTGAAACTTTCTAGATAAGAGAAGTGATTAGTGCACTCAACTACTCTATTATCTATAGAGATTTATTGAGTGTTGAGATAGATTTGGCCACAAACAGAGAATGAAGGAATGGTAAATATCTGTTTCCTCCATCTACTACATCATACAGAACTGAAACTTCATGACTTTCAATCAGGATTGAGCACGATACTCTGCGATTTTATTTAAAATTCTCCCGGAAGTCATAATGTCGGAAATATTTCGACCAATCCAAAAGAACGAGTGGTTAAACTTTCCCTGTTCTGAGTACAGAATTGCAAAATTTAGCTTCTATTTTCGAAGCATCCAGAATTCCAAGGTAATCACCAGCCTATTAACATACTCCTTTTCTATATATAAACCAACCTTAAGAGTGGAGTTTTTCTATAAATCGCACCTTTCGATTTTCATCCGGAGTTCTAAAATGGTAGATTTGTGCTGAATAGGATAACGGTAGGAAACCAGAGACAACAAAACGCAGAATAATAGATGTGATTAATGTATAGTCTTAGATTTAAATTTAATGACATTTTTAATGTTGACATCGATTTCTTAAATTTCCAGTTAAAAATAACATATCTGAACGTCTTGAGTAAAATCATATTGTATAAAACTGCGTTGATGCACTGTACCGCTGAAAAGCTCAGAAGAAGGCAGTCGCCTAGTGCCCATTGTTAGTTAATCAGTAGCAACGTCAGGGTTATCGCCTTCCCCCACATCTTTATCTCTGTCATAAAAATTATTTAAAAGACAACGCTCATATCTTCACTTGGTGTTGTATACACCCATATCACCTAAATTTTCAGCAGTTAGTCTTCTACCAAAGAATTCACTTCGGGACTTAAATAAGAATATAATGCAGTCCTGTTTCATTAAGTCACTGACAAAATACAATCTTCTCAACACCTTAACCAATAATCCTAGCATGTTTCAAAATGCGTTTCTCTCCCTCTAAATTTGAAATGTTGCTTCACAACTGGTTTAGCTCAAAGCCCGGGTTCGTCATAAGCAATGAAGTAGTTGAGCACCCCGATTACTTGTTTTGCGAGTCTTATCAGTTCTGATGGGCTGTTATGTGGCGAAATCTCGGCAGGGACGCAGATTGGCTTATGTCAACCTGCGTCACTTGTGGCGTAGGCGAGATATTTGTCTGCCAAACAGCAGTTCCTCCACTCCTAGTAGAAAAAATGATGAAATTCAACTGCAACCTAATTGTTATACATTTGTAAATCAAACACATTACATTTAGTATTTATTTGACTGATACACTTTATACACATGTAACTTAAATATTAGTAGTGTAGTTGAGAGGTTTCATGGAGATCGACTTAATTAGTAGGTTGTATTTACCATTACAGATTGATCTCCGTTAGGGTAATACTAAAAACAAAGGAGCATTGGATAGCTGTTTCATCCTAGTACGAGACTCCTCAGAAAGGCCCGACTACCACCTCACTAGAGAACTGACGCGGGATCTCTGAGCCTCCCAGAGATTACTTAACCATTGAGTTGACGTCCAACAGCTCAAATCAATTTGTGATATGGTATGATGATTATCTATTCCCATTCATGACAACTGTTTTATTCCGCCACGTCAAAACACCAGCAATCAGGACTTCCCACTAGAAATTTAGAAGTAACTTGAGATAAGTCACTAGCGAGCTGACTTTCACAATTTAGATGAAAGGATGGCAATCGTTGGGCTACATTGCACACTGAACCATTTAATGCCAACCTAATGGTTCTAGTGGCTAAATGTTCATCACGAGGCATGAAGGTCCAAGGTCCTACCACTGGTTTGGCCATAAGTGGAGACTGCCGAAGAGGTTCTATATAAGTGGTAATAGTAGTAGTTTATGTAGGAAGAAGTAATAAAGAAATTATCTCGTTCAAACTAACTTTGTCACCAACGGCACTTAAAGCTCGAACAGCTGCCAATCGTACATCTTGTATATCGTCAGTTAACATATCAACTAAGAGATCTTGACAATTTAATGCGAATCGAGTATTGAGGGATGCGATATGCGTAACTGTAGCTAACGTAGTACATCGTATTTCTATTTGGCAAAATAAAGAAAATTAAATAGAAACGATAAATATGATTACGTATTACTTTATCTTGCAAACAAAATTTCAGCAGGAAAGTAAAACAAGTTTGAAGAACTGAAAACTATTTGTCCTCCAAACGCTCTGGTACGGCCGAGGGTGGAGAGAGTCAGCTTTTTCTCTCGAAATGCCCTCACATGGCCACGCGTATACAGCCACTCTCAGTGAAGTTCTACTCACTGAGTTCCCTCGTCAGAGGTGTTGTTTACGAAGTTGGGAGAATGAAAAGCGAATATCCAACGATTTAACCAGGTTGGTAGATATGGAAGATTCATCTTGGAGAGTTAGAAAACTCTGATTCCAAACCAGTGGTGTACACGGTTTACAGGATCCTGAGGGAACGAATGGTGTATGAACCTGTTGTTGGTGACCGGCTACCATGGGACTGCATCTCATAACGTTGTGGATTAGACCTCTAGATGAAAGGCTTGGGGTGTGACCCCCTAAGGAAACTACGTGCTTCGGTGTGGGCGCCCGGGCAGTATCTAAGCCCTCATAGAAATTGAATCATTTGTATGATGGATATATTTGGTGCATCCTTGTACCAATGTTTATGTGTTTAAATAAATAAGACCACTTATTTAACTCTATCAGTATGAGATCGAAATACCCGATTGTTGATATTCAGGAAAATATTCCAGGTCAGGCACTTTTGGATTTGCATTTCCGGAATAGATTGCGTAGATACAACCATTATGTCACAAGACTTCTAAGAAAGATGGAGTCTCAATATGGACATCAACATTAAGATGCAAGTATATTCAGCCAACGAGTACAAAACAGGACGAACCGCGCGTCCTGGATTCGATTGCTAAACTCAATCTGTCTAAAAGAAATCTATTTAACAGTTTAGATTTTATAAATAATAAAACAGTCCGAATAGGTATTTAATTTTGTTATCAAGACAGTTATTTGATTAAATCATATTTCAGACAGAAGCACGCTGATTGACCTATTTTTGATCAATCAGGGCTAGTAGGCAAGAGAAGACTCTAGAATCTTCCTGTGTAAAAATTATAAATACATTGACATTTTCCTACTGTTCGGATTCGGTTTAACTTACTGTTTTGTTTGGAAGTAAAGCCATGATTTGACATTTTAATGTTTATTTATCTAGTTAAACACAAACATTTGTACGAAGTGGTACCAAAACATATGTGCACCACGCAAATTATCATCAAACCGGTGTGTGGGCTGGGATGCTCCTTGGGTGCCAAAACCGAAACAGGCGATTCTCTCAGGAGGCCACTCCCCGAGACCTAGAAGCCTAGTCCACAAGGCATTGAAGCAATATTAGGAGATGCGGTCTCAAAGTATTCGGTGGTTAAGAAGTTAAGAATACGTTCGTACGCCGTTTGTCCCCTCAGAATACTGAAGCCTATGTGTGCCATCGGTTCAGATTCGGAGTTTTCCAACTACCCTAAGTGAGTGTTCCGTACCTACCGACCCGGTTTAAAAGCTGGATAGTGGCTTTTTATCACAATTTCTCAAGGAACACTTTTGTAGCGAGAGGACAATGAATAGGACTTCCCTATGAGTGGCTATATAGATGTGTCCATATGAGAGCATTTTGAGGGGGAGAGTACACTCTCCCCAGAGTCGGCCATACCAGAGGATTTGGGGCTAATAGTATAGTTATTCAGATATTTTACGATATCACACACATATCTATGTATATCAAAAACAACTTACCAAAATAATCATCTTCCAATCCGCTAATGATAGCTCCATTACAGCCAGTCGATATTAAATTAATGGAATCTGAAGTAAGATTTTTAGTTTGTGAACGGTTATCCACTGTAGAGCGTAAATTGTTGTTGTTACTTTTGTTCTTTTTGTTCTTCGACTTATTGTCACTTTCTATCATAGATCGACGTACCTGCCGATCGGACATGACTGTTTTCTCCAATGTTTGTAATAAACAATTTTCTGTAACAAACTTTCCAAAAACAAAACAAAGGGTACAAGCAGAATAACATGATGATGGTAGGATAAATGTTAACAATGTCTGGTACAGTGGGTCGTATATATATATATATATATATATATATATATATATATATCGATTAGGCTTATCCAGCACAGCTTCTCTCTTAATCGCGATCTTCTCACCTAAGTAGCCGGTAGGACCTGTATATAGGAAGCTTGTGTATAACCAATATTCAAACAGTAACACCTGCTACGAGTACTATCTCTGAGTGTTTGGCTTTTTGAAGTTCGTAAAGCTTTCTGTAAAATTTATTTTTCACTTCATCCGGGCTGCAGTCAATAGAAGAGTAGGCGAAAATGACGAAAAGGTGATGGCGTGTGTCCTTATCCTTCCGAGTTCTTACGGAACCGTTTGACCAAACAGCACATAGATGGCTGTTAACAGAGATGCATTCTAATAGCCCTTGTTCTGCCCTCATACTTAGTACTATGCCTACATCCACCAGTCCGCAAAGATTTTCCGTCCCGGTTGCCAAATAAAGGGAGGGTGTATGTCATCGGTTCCCCATTTTGGCTAGATGAGGTCAAATGAATGACCACACTAGGATACTGTACGTGTGTTTCGAAGACACAGCATACATCAATGATACGAGATTTTAGGGTCTTAGCCAAGGAGGCCAGCTGGCCGATTTGACATAGGGTACGTACATTGGAGGCCCCAATGTGCAGTTTGGAGCGAAGTTTCGGTAGACCTAGGACAGTATTTCGCGCACTAGAGTCGTTGGCTATGGTGATACTTGAGGAGGAAGTTTATAGTTGGTAGTCGAGGTAGGAAGAATAATAGGAATTGAAGAGGGAAATTGATTATGAATACAGTAGTCTTGAGTGTTGTTAGAGGTATGAAGGCGGCTTTTATTTTCCCGTTACCTACAACGTGGAAGGGTTCTTCTAGAGGTATCTGAAAAGGAAATTGGGTAAGAGTTGGTTTTATTGACCTGAAAGCGTGACCACAATGCCCAAGGGACAACAGATAAGGGCCGGTCACATACGACGTTCTTGTGTTAGCTCAGAACTTGTTGAGACCTTACCTCCGGAGACGGAAATCCATGAAATTAGGCGAGGTGTGCATTTTTAGGGCCAACCTTTCCTAGCCCCACCCTTTCTTTTTGAGAAGGCAGCATAGTTATCACGCTGGAAAGTAATGTATGAAAAAATAGTGAGATTCAACATTCATAGGACGATAAAGAGTTGACCAGCACCACTGTGAACTATTCTGAGTCATGTTAGACAATCTCTAACCACCAACTGAGGTTACAGCGCAAACCCTACGCAGTTAGTCTGTGCCCACCTATATGCCTCAGATCAACAGTCAATGGCTTCATGGATTGATGCCCCGTTAAGGTTTGGCCCTCATTAGATTTCTTTCAACTTATTTCTCCACCAGTAAACCACTGGTCGAGGTAGGCAGTGGTTGGGCATACTTAATAAATGTCCTAACCACCTTAGTTGATGAAGATTCACTACTTCATTGACAACCAAACACGTAACTCTCTACATATTACTAACAACTTACTTTAGCCAAGTCAGCCATTATGTGAGCAGCCAACTGTCTAACACTTCGACTAGGATCTTGAAGCCGACAACACACACGAATAAAAGCATCATCAACTAATTGAGTTTCCTCCAAATCAGAGTCCAAACATATTTTTGATGATAATAAAGAATTCAAACTGAAAACAGGAACATCTGTCAAACTATGATGCGGCCAAATAGTACTCAACTTTCCAAGAACATGTAAACTAGTTCGACGGACCTGCAGGATAAAATTATAATAAATTCTCCAGATAAAAATCAAATGATTTCAATTTGAATAAAACTTTCAAACACTATATATATATATATATATATATATATATATATATATGTTGTATCACTAAAACATCCATAAACAAATCGATGCTACCATGTGGACTCAGAAGAAAAATTTAGAAGTAGGATATAGATCCTCGAAATCCTTTCAAAAACAATAATTTCAGAAGAGTAGAAAAATTTGAGCCATAATAAACAACCAAACAAAATACATCCAAGGAATTACCAATATTTGTGTTTAAATAAATAAGAAACCATGGTTGTTAGTGAGCTCGAGTTTTATAGGTATATTAAACACCATGAGTTATTCATTTTGTACCAAATAGATTACGATGTACTGTTAGATATGAATCATATTTAGTTCGTTAACACCTTACAAAATCACAAATACCAGGCAGTGAAACTGTTATACTGATGCTTGTCACTCAACATGGTATTACTTAACCTTATCCCAGTTCGAATAACTAAGTACATTCTTACAACGCTAACGCTCCTGAAGAAACGATGATAACCCAACACAGTAAATTTTAACCCTCTAAAGCCAATACACTTAGTACGACCCCAAATACCCTGGTATGGCCGAGAGTGGGGAGAGTCCGCTCTCCCGAAATGCTCTCACATGGCCACGCGAATATATAGCCTCTGACAGGGAAGTCCTACCCACTGCCTTCTCGCACCACGGGTGTTGTTTACGAAAGTGAGAGGACGAAAAGCAAATGTCCGGCGCTTTAACCAGGTTGGTGGACACGGCGAGTCCACCTAGGGGAGTTGAAAAACCATCACCTCAAAACAATGGTGCACATAAGCTCCAGTATCCTGAGGGAACAAATGGCATATGAAACAATCGTTGGTCACCGGCTACCATGAGACTGCATCTCCTTACGATGCCCCACTGCCATGTGGACCAGATCTTTAGGTCAAAGGCTCCGGGTGTGGCCCCCTAAGGAAACCACCTGCTTCGGTTTGGGCACCTGGGCAGCATCACAGCCCTCACACAAATCAAATGAGATTAGTGAGGCCCATATTTATCTGGTGCCCCTTAGTGCCAATATTTATGTGTTTAAATAAATAAATAAAATAAGTCGACAATCAAACGGTAAACACGATCACGTTTTAATCAAGTTTCAGTACATGTATATTTGTCAGGGTGTATCGTTCGGATATCAGCACGACTTCACGAAAACAATATTATGCTACACTTTAAAAGCCAATTAAAGACCTTGCAGTCATCGGTTTGTGATCAAACGCGTCCAAAGTATAATAAAGCTCGAGTAGGAAAGCATAGATAAGCTTATTTCTTAGGAAAATGAGTTGGGATACTGTATATTTACTAGAATAATGGAAGTATTATCACAAAAGCTTACCAATTCTTCATTATCTAGTAGCCCTTGACAAGCAGCTGAATAAACAGACTCCAGGTTCGTTTCAAACCACCCAGTCAACTCCTTTTTTACAGACTCTTTATGGTTGTTGAAATACTTTGCTTTCCCTGGACGACTAAACTCACTAGATTTCAGGACGGCATTAAGTGAACATAGCCACGTTAGGAGACAATGGAAAGATCGATCACGTACTCTGGGATCACCATCCGCAGTATGCCACAATACAACTTCACCAGCTGAGCCTGCACTAAGACAAATTTGTGGACTATTCCATCCAGCTAGAAGGTCAAGACACCCAGAGCGTACGTGGGCAGACGGACACGCGAATGCCTGTTTAAAAGATGACAAAAGGTTTACAGTATATTGTGACATACATTACAGATATTTCTACAATGCTACCAATAAGTATAAACGATGTTTGGTTACCTAGGTCCAAGTGTTCAAATAAGTCGACATAGATTCCAAGGGAAATGAACCACTTATAAACATCTCAAAGCTTATAATTAAAACCAAATGCAGCACGAATATTGCCTGAGTAGAAAGCTTTCATAATACTGGGACTTCACTTAATATCCCTTGCATGTTGATGTTGGTCAAAAAGGATTACTATAATGATACTCCTATGACATATCAACTTCTATTGTGTAAGCAACTGGAATATATTAACCAACTACTCTTTACAAACAAAAAACAGACTACTTATGCGCATAACGCACTAGAATTATATTATCACAAGTTACTGATATTTTTAGCAGTGAAAAATTTACAAAACGGGTTCACAAGTTAGAAGTGGCAAACTGTTGTTGTTCCCAAGAGAAGGTCTGTGTCACCAAAAATTGGAAGTTTGTTGGTGAGATATAAAAATCGTGAGTTTAGCCTTTAGCAATAAGGACAGTAGGCCGGCTGTCATGTGTTCATTAACGCAAGCTACAAGAACTATTACTTGTAGCTTTTTAAATCATGACTGAGCAGAGGTGATGTATTTCGCACACTGTTCTTTGAACACAAGATATAATAGCCATGATTTAAAAAGCTAAAATAACTTTTGTGAGACATGATATTTATCCTTTATGATTTATTGTTATGGTAACACCCATCAAAACTCTGAATTCTTCAGAATGTTTCCGTCATTTTAATACCTCATTAATTACTCCTAACACCGATAGCTCTTGAGTAGCAGTTGGTGGAAGGGCCCGTAACTTCGTTAGGAACTTTTCGCACTCTGAGATCAGCATTAATTACAACCCGCCTCCCGCTTGACCTTGGAAAGGTCGCATAGCGATGCGACGATCGTCCAGTAGTTAATCTTCCTGTCTAAATTTCCCTATAAAATCTTCCCTGAGAGCGTCAGAAAACCTCTTGGTACTCAGAATCTTCATCTCAGTGGTGGAAGGGCGTCCTTCATTTCGTAAATATAAGATTCTTGTTATGTTTTGTTTGAGATTGAAGAGCTAACGAGAATAAATCGATAGCATGCAGATTAATCAAGAAGTGGTATTTTGAGTAATCTCCCTCTTTACTAGTGAAATCTATGTACGCTTTGAACCTTCTTCCAAGAGATTTTGATATAAGATGTTGTAACTGATGCTTCCGGCAGGGAGTTTTACTGCCTTCTGGGCCGAATAACAGAATAGCTCCCACAATATTTTATGGGAAAGAGGACAGAAAGGACTTAGGTGGGGTCCTTCGAGCCTGGCGCAGGTCGAGGAGCGACCCCTATAGGCACGTCAGACGTTGTGAAAGCCGACTTACATTTGTAAAGTAACGACAAAAAGACCCGGTGCAACACACCTTGGTGTCGGTTGGCCGCAATACAGAACGTGGGGACCGAGAACGCTGACAGGACAAGCTTCACAGGAAAAACATCTACAGTGGCCAGTTTTTCCGGAACTGGTTAACGGACCTTAAAAGCAGTCTGTTTAAAAACCAGAAGACAGATGCTGGTTCAGAGAAGCACCAGATCAGCAGATCAAACATAAAGTGTCTATACGGCGACGCAAGAGGACCAATGAGTAAACTAAGAGAAATCAGAGACATGTGGCTTCATTTATACCTGGAGATTATACTCCTCACTAAAACATAGTATCGCCCAATATCACGGATGAACGAGTGAGGTTGCAAGACATGACACATTCAGATACCACGGGGTGCACTAAACAGGAGGTGGGATGATGAAACCCATTAACAGTCATTTCAGATCTGTAACACCACTTAGCATTGAACTGACTGAGGCGACTGAATCATGATGATGTTACTTCATTTGGAACGGCATGGAGTACTTGATTGGGGTAATATGTCGGATTACTAATAGAAGATGGTGAGATATATCATTAAGACTGTCACCCAACACAGTGCACCTCATGATAAGTAATTACTTACTTACGCCTGTTACTCCCAATAGAGCATTGGCCATCGACCAGCATTCTCCAACCCACTCTGTCCTGGACCTTCCTTTCTATTTCTATTCAACTTTTGTTCAGTTTTCTCATGTCTGTTTCCATTTCTCGCGGTAATGTGTTCTTTGGTCTTTCTCTTCTCCTTTGATGTTGAGGATTCCAAGTGGTAAGGCTTGTCTTGCGACGCAGTTGGGTGATTTCCTCAATGTGTGTCCTATCCAGTTCCAGCGTTTCTTCCTGGTTTCTTCCTCCGCTGGAATCTGGTTTGTTCTCTCCCACAATAGGTTGTTGTTGATAGTATCTAGTCAACGGATCCGAAGTATCTTGCGCAGGCAGCTGTCAATAAACACTTGTATCTTCTGAATCATCGTTTCCATAGTTCCGCAAGTTTCCGCCTCTTACAGTAGAACTGTTTTGACATTCGTATCGAAAATTCTGATCTTAGTGTTGGTTGACAATTGTTTTCAGTTCCAAATGTTCTTCAGTTGTAAATATGCTGCGCCTGCTTTGCCGATCCATGCCTTCACGTCTGCATCAGGTCCAACGTGTTCATAAATGATGCTGCCCAGATATGTAAAGATTCTCATATCCTCCAAAGCTTCTCCGCCAAGTGTAATTCCATTGGTGCATGCTGTGTTGTATCGGAGAATTTTGCCTTTCCCTTTGAGTGTGTTGAGTGCTACTACTGCTGAGGCTGCTGTTACACTGGTCGTCCTCTGCATTTGTTGTCGAGTGTGTGATAGAAGAGTCAGATCATCGGCGAAGTCTAAATCATCCAGCTGCATCCTAGCTGCCCATTGTATCCCGCGCTTCCTCTCCAGATGTTGACGTCTTCATGATCCAGTCGATCACCAGGAGAAAGAGAAAGGGTGAGAGTAAGCAACCTTGCCTGACACTAGTCTTTACCTCGAGTGAGCCGGTGAGTTGTCCTACATGAACGGTTCTGCAGTTCAACCCATCATATTAACTCCGTATGATATTGACTATCTTCTCAGGCACGCTGTAGTGTCGAAGAAGTCTCCATAGTGTTGTCCTGTCCATGCTATCAAATGCTTTCTCGTAGTCAATGAAGTTGATGTAGAGTGGTGAATTCCATTCGATTGATTGCTCCTTAATGATCCGTAGAGTATCGGTTTGGTCTGTACACAATCGATCCTTAAGGAATCCAACCTGTTGATCTCGAAGTTGGGCGTCTACGGAGTCCTTCATTTTGTTTAACAATACCCTGTTCGTGGGTGCTGCTTCGATGTTCGGTGTGTTCAGTGTAGCTAGTCGATTTAGGAATTCCTTAAAGTGCTCTTGTTGTTTTACAATGTTGGTGAATACCTTGCCTTCCTTGCTTTTCACTGGTCGTTCTGGTTTACGGTAATTTTCAGCGGGTTTCTTTGTTGTATCATACAATTGTCTCATGTTTCCTTCTCTTGCAACCTTTTTCGCTGTCATTGCTAAATCTTCCACATATTTACGTTTGTCGGTTTTGATGCTCCTCTTCACTTGCTTATTTACCTCTGTGTATTCGGCTTGTACCTTGGCTTTTTCTGCTCTTGTTCGACTGGTAATGATTGTAGCCATCTTGTTCCTCCTTTCTTTAATCTTATCCAGTGTATCAACGGTGATTCATTCCTCGTGATGGTGATTCTTGCGTCCCAGAAACTCATGACACATTGAAACGATTGCCTCTTTTACCTCTTTCCAGTTTCTCTCCATAGTAGTTCCCTCTCCATCGAGCATATAGTGAAAGGCCTGGAACCTTTTGTTGAGGGTCATTTTGAATTTATTGGGTTTGTCAGTATCCCGAGGAAAAGCCGCATTAAACTTTTGTGATGTTGTCCGCCCCGTTTTCCAGTGCTTCTTAAGTTTCGATTTCATCTTGGCGACCAGCAAGTGATGATCTTGTAGTGGATGTCGAGTCGAAGACGGACTATGATCACCACTACAATTCGTCTACGCGCCCAAAAACGACTTGGTTCCTTTAATAGCTCGTAAAACAGAAGACTTTATTAATCCAGATCAATTGTATTTATTGGCGATCTCGTGGTATCGAAATAATACCGAGACGTGCCAAAGAGTACAGGCGAACAGGCAGTGCGTGAGCAAGCTCGAACCAAACCAGGCGGTATATGGAACAAGAAGTGAAACGGATACAGTTAAACAAATACAGTAAAACAATCTCTGGTACAATTGGTTACAATAATAATAATTGTTTCTATTATTCCAATCGTGTTCTTATCGAGACTGGCCGGTCACTACAGGAGCCCCCCGCTAGAAAGGATTTACACTTTCGATACGTAGCGGTTTCATTCGTGGGACTGATCGCGAAACGTGCAATTGTAGGACGAAAACGTTGGCAGAACAGGGAGTGATCGTTGATCCTCGAGTTGCCACCAAAAGTCTTTGACGTAGAACGGTACCAGAAGGAACATGCTGTATTGATTTCTTGGATTAGTATGCTACACCAGAGTGGTTTGTATCCAGAATCTGAAGGTTGCGTTCTTAGAGGTCCGGACCAGAAACGCTGCAGACGTAGGACGAAACCAGATTGAGCCAAGGAACCAGATGCGACCAGGATAACCATGTTCGGGACCAAATGTATATCATACGTATTTGGAGCCAGAGAGATCGACTGAGTGCGTTGACTAGAGCGTGGGTGATCAAGCCAGCTTTCGCGAAAGTTGACTGAAGTCGACGATACCGTAACAGCGATGGTCGGAGGCGTAGGCTCGGGGTAAACAAAAAAAATGATAGAAAAAGAGAAAAGTGTAGCTTTCTTGTAGTATAGGGGTAGATTCCTATACTGTATCCGTAGTTGGTTATGAGGTTAGTCGAGAAAGCGTACGGGTAAGCGTACTCGGCGACCAGAACGTGAGACGGTAGTCTCGTTCGAACCTCGTGAGCCTGCAATCTCATCCGCAGTCAAGGGCGGTGTGGTCTGCAGGTCTGGACGTGAGACGGAGGTCTCGTCCGTAGACGGGACAGATGACACGTGCTGTTGACTGGGACTTGAGAATGAGGTCTCAGGTGCATCTAGCGTGGGATCCGAAGTAGATGTAGAAATCCCGCTAGAAGCTCTGATGGGTCTAACATTGGGTCTCGGCTTATCAGGTATAGCACTGTCATCGACGTGTGCTGGCTTGAGACGATCAATGCTGACTGTTTCGATGCGGCCACGTCGATCAACCTTGAAAGTCTTTTCGTGACGGGAAATCACGTGAAAAGGACTCTCGTAAGGCTGTTGTAGAGGTTTGCGTACCGAATCTACTCGTATGAAAACATGTGAACAGGTAGATAACTCTCGAGGGAGAGCGACCTGTCGATGTTGTATACGAGTTGACACCGGAGTCAGTGTTCGCATGAATGCAGACAGTCGTTGGACGTAGTCTGATTCGCCGAACTTAGTGCTGCTCCATGGTGTGAAAAATTCCCCAGGCAGACGCAATGTCGTGCCGTAAACAGGTTCAGCGGCGGAACATTGAATATCTGCCTTTAGACTCGTTCTGATTCCCAGGAGGACGAGCGGTAGGGTTTCGTACCAATTGTTGTTTTCGTGTGCTCGAAGAGCACTTTTAAGTTGGCGATGAAACCGTTCAACTAAACCGTTTGATGCTGGATGGTTGGCGGTAGTGCGTATGCGTTCCGTACCAAGCAGCCGTGTTAGTGAGGAGAATAATGCGGACTCAAATTGTTGTTAATTTGGGGAATTTCTGAAATAAAACGTGGAATAAATCGTCACGCGAATGAAATACACCTGTGATTCGGTACGCGTTTGTGTGGGCTTTAGAGCCCATAAAGTTGCTGTTCGACGAAATATCAATTAGCTGCAGCCTACGTGAATCGACTAGCAATTCATAGTGCTGTAGGAAATCGATACCGAGTATAG